CTTATTTTCATTTAACTGATGTTTAATTCTGGCATCCACTGACAGGCAGAGTAGCTTGGATGCTGAAAATGTCCCAGTTTCTCCACTGAAAGTGTGGTGCTGTTATCAAAATCATGATGTCACTTATATTACAGATACCATGTATTTGGAGTGAGATATTCAGGACATACAAAGACTGCCTTGGTGTTTCCATCCCCAAAATGTATTTTCTTCAACATTTTCATCTCAGCTCAACATTTTTCCTGCCTGTCTTTAGTTTGACCATTCCCACACGAGAGCAACAGATAGGAACTCCCACTGACTGAGATAACCATTTGAAAAATGGCTTGATCATACCAATCTCCTGCAACCTTGATGTGAAGTACCAACTGCAGTCCCTGTGCAGTTCTGTGTTCTGTTTTGGCTATTTCCCTGATCCAGCTGTGGATTTGCTGATCCTGTGCCAAGTATTCTGGGCCTTCCAAAGTTCTTGGTGCTCCCCAAGTGTCTTCTTATGCATGCAATACAGTTATATTTAATATTCCTTCATCAAACAACAGCACACAAGGGCTTGACACTGATTTCCTTGGAACAGAACATACACATAGTGTAGCAATGGCCATTGTCCCAAGAGGCAAGAATCTGAGTGCTACTGATTATTGCGAGAGAAAGGTGTCCAACATGAATGTCATGTTCCAGCACAGCTTGGCATATTTAAACATCACTAACTTTATGCTAAATACAGATGTTAAAGAGCCCTACAGGTGCTGAGCTGACTCCTTAGTTTGTCCTTTGTGACTGTAGTGAAAGTACACATTAGCATTTGCCCTTTAATGGGATTTCAAAAGCCTTTGGAATCCTTTAACAAATAAAAAAAAAGAAAAAAAAAACAAAAAAAGAAAAAAAAAACAGAAAATAAAGCTGCACTTTCAATTAATGAGAACAATTACTTCTAATTACTTCTAAAGCTCAGACATTCTTCAAAAGAAGAGATATCATTTTGCTTTAATTGCTAGGTGTGTTGAATAGGCAATTAAAAACACATAAAATTTGGACCCACAGATAACAAGGAGCAGATTTCTGTCCTGAGCAGATTACAGTTGTGAATGTGCCTCTGTTTTCACTTTGAAACCTATAAAGGGGCTCCCTGGGCACATTCCATGGTTCCTCCGTTATTGTCACTGCAGATACGATATCAGCATTTCCATTACAAACACTGAATATTCCTGCAGATAGAAGCATGGCATTACTCAGCCCAGGAGAGCTGGATCTGTATTGTTTTAAAAACATTGTGTTGCTTGGGCTTTGCATTCTGGAGCATGAGCTTCAGCAATTAAACAGTGGTGGGGACTGTGTTGGTCCTGAAGTACAGATGCTCTAAAAGAAATCATCTCTCTAATAGAAATATGTCCCTTTACCCCATCTGCACCTCTCCTCCAGGGATATATGCTATTAACCTGCTGGAGGGACTAGCTCACAATTACACAAAATTGGTAGGAAAAAAGGAATTCATGTGATTTCTCACTCTTTTTTTTTGTTCTCACTCCTGCAAACACTGAACACACCAGCTTTATTGAGGAACTTGCTACCCCTTGAACTGAAGAAGGCAAACCCTAGAGAGCCGTATTCTTTTCTGCTACACAGTATCATCATGGGACAAATTTACATATGAATCAATTTGTGATGCTATTTATCTGCAAACCAAGAATGACTTATGCAAAACAACAGTCACAGTCACTGAATGTACTTTGCAAACTGGCATAGCTTCTGTATTGCAGCCCCATTCTGGTTGTTCATTTAAATACTGCCTCTTTCCAATACCCTTTCTCAGTTAAGGAAACTGAGGCTCCCTGATGACACTAATAAGGAAATATAAATAGCAATTCCCAGAGATTACTAAAGGTTGAAAGGATTGCAAGTGTAAGATAGCCTGAAGTCCAAAAGTTATGGCTGCCCATCACTCCAGCCTATCATGCTGTAGGGGTAGCAGTGGGGTAAAAAAGTGCAATCCAGGATTTATTCATAACAAGTGCTCACACCAGCATGCAGAACACATATTTGAAGATCCAGACTGCTGTCCCTGAACTTTCCCTAGCATGAAAGCTAATATGCTTTAGAAGATTCTTCAAGTTATTTTTCTGTTCATGCAGCCCATTGAATTTTAGTCATACCTATAGTTAATAGGGGACATTACTATACAATGGGTTTTCAAAGAAAAAGCAAACCAGTAATTGCTGTGGGGTTTTTTTTGTTAGGTCTATGCTCAGGAAAGCACAAAGTACATATTTCATCTATCATGATTTATCATGCACATAAACTTTTCCATCAAGACATCTTTACTTGAAATGCTTGCATGCTTGGAGCAGATGTGGTTTAACCCCAGCTGACAGCTAAGTACCATGCAGCTGCTCACTCACCCCTTCCACTCAATGGGATGCGGAGGAGAATGAGAAAAAGGTAAACCTCATAGGCTGAGATAAGAACAGTTTAATATTTGAAATAAAGATAGTAATAATAACAGGAAACAGAGGAATCAAATCCAAGAAAGACAATTGACACACAATACAACTGCTCACCACCTGCTGACTGATTCCCATCCCATCTCTAAGCAGTTATCAGGGGCTCCCAGCTAACTCCTCCCAGTTTATGTACTGGGCTTTATGTGCTGTGATATGGAATACTCCTTTAGCTAATTTGGATCAGGTGTCCTGTTTCTGCTTCCTCCCGGCTCCTTGTGCCCTTCCTCACTGGCAGACCATGAGGAAAAGTCCTTTATCAGGGTAAACTTTATACTAATAATCAGAGCAGTTTCTGTACAAATGAGAGTTTTGATAGTAAAAAGCTCTAACTTATTTATTTATTTAACAGAGATGCCTTAAGTTTGGTTTGCTTAGCTGATGGCATTCACAGTGTTGTGTCCTCCCTCTGCTGACGACAGCTCTACTTTGCACTCTCTTTACTGGAGGATGTAGCTCATTTTGCACTTTACAGCATCCATCCCAAAAGCTCCCTGGTACCATAAAGGATCAAACCAACAGGTCCTTCTGAGTTCCTAAAGCAAAAATTCATGGCAATGCATCTAACCTGTAGAGACAGTGTGATGATACCTGTGTTACTTCCAGTCCCAGATGTTGAGGGTCACTCCAAAAGAAGCTGCCCAGGAAGCAAAGTGTGCCAATGCTGCACTATCACCCTGCTGTGTTCACTGCTGGCTCTGGGTGACTTCAGTATGCATGATACAGCTCCTGAACACTAGATCTTGTGATTTCAGACCTCTGCCTCTAGCAGCTTTCTCCCAAGAGGCACCTGACAACAGCTAAATCTCACCCAGAGAAATTCAGAAACTTTATGGCAAGTAGAAATCAGGACTCTGGAGTCTGATCTGATTCACCTGAGAAGCAGAAAGAAGAAGATCCTTCACTTAGTGATGGGAACCTGGGAGAAGGAAGACCCTGCCTAATGGATTGTTAGGGGAAGACTTGATATGCAGAAGGGCATTATGCTCCTTGCTTTTCCACTTGGCTGCTCCAGCTTCCCCAACCATCAGCCCCAGGACAGTTGAGCATTGCCAAGCTAAGCAAAGAAAGGATAGAAAAGAATAAATATGAATAACAACTGATATGAATGAGCTGTGTAAATGAGGAGAAGTGATATTACTGAGAAGGCTTCCTAGGGCTCCAGCACATTTGGGTTCTGCATCCCTGATATTTTTCCTTGCTTTATGTGTACAGAAAGAGATGCAGCACAGATGGAGAAAAAGAATTGCAGAGCTTCAGACACAGAGCCTGTCAGTACAACTGGTGAGGAATTTTCTGTTTACAGGCTTCTGTCCTCTCAGAAGATGAAAGGTCATCAGAAGTGAAGGCATTTGAGCGAGTCACCTCAGTGGACTTGAAATAGAATATTTCTCTGTGCTATCAGAGAAAGGACAAATGGTGAACCTCTTGTTTTGCACCGTGTTTGCATGTCACATTCAAAAGCATTAGTATAAATGAGGATTTATACATCTGAAAATAGTCCTTCAACATTAAGGTGGTGAAAAAATATTTGCCTGGAAAAATTTGATATGTACAATATGAAAATATTCCATGTACAGAAAGCCAAGTAGACCTAAGTGAATATTTCATACTTGGAGCATGAGATGCATACATATTACACTACATCAGGGAGTGCTAAGACATATTTATAATTTGAAGGACTTCATATACTGAAGCAGCTTCAGTGTAGAAGATGAGATACCAATAAAAAGGGAAGTAATCTTGAAGAGAGCTGTGTTGTATTCCTGGGAAAGCAAGGCAGCAAAGATAAACTGTGACCATAGATGCGTACTTGGTTGTCTGCCTTCATAAATATGTATTAGCTAAAAACAAGTATATCTAGTACATCTGTCTCAACATGTGTGTAAAAACCTAATCAATATGAAGGATAAGAGAGTACAGGTCTGGTCTGGTGAACGCATAGCTGTAATATATGTATGTTAATAGAAGTCTGGGATGGTAATGAGTGTATGGATACTTCTATAAATATGTACACATGAATTGTTTGCACTGAACTTTGCTCTTATTGGCAATGCTGAAGCAGCGGTTTGGCATTGCTCTTCCTGACTGGGTCACTACTAATCAATAGCCTTATAAATCAGAGCTTTTAGTCCACTGCCAGTCCTTTTTCTCATGCAAACACTTGTCAGGATAAATTAATGACCAGTCAGGTCCTTCCCTCGTCTTGCTGTTGCATGGAGTACTGCCTGCATTTATTGTAGTAGCTGTAATTGTTCTCTTCCTTTGATGGTGAAGGAAAGAGAACACCATCAAGTCCTGCTTTCTCAGTGGGACTTCTAGGCTTGCTGAGAGGCTCCTAGACTTGCTCCCAGTTCACGCCCAGGTAACCAGCAGGGCAGATCCCCCTTTGGGAAAAAAAACTCAGCTGGAGCAGGAGCATGTGAAGAATATGGATGGGAAGCCATGTAGTGCACCACAGCCACAGACAGTCCAACCATCCAAACTATCGTCTTACAGATGAATACAAATATAAAATGCAATAAACAGAAATAATAACAGAGAACTTTGTCAAAGTGAAGGAAAGTTACCAGGCAAGTCCCTCACAGATCTGTCCCAGGGTCTATTCAGCTCAGCATATTCATGAATGCTCTGGAAAAGAGAATAAATAATATAAAAATATTCAGAATAGTCAATTCTGTGCTGATTTCGAAGACTCACAAAAGGATCTCACAATGCTGAGTGACAGGGTGATAAGACTGCACTTGAATTTCAATACTGATGAATACAAAGTAATGCATTTGGGGAAAAAAAATAAAACAAAGCATAACGACACAGACAAAATTACAGGTTGTAGGAATTATAAAGAGGGAAGAAAAGGAGAGGAGAGGTCTGTATAGCACAGACGAGGAAAAAATACAAATAATTATTCATAAAGCCCAAGACCTAAGCAGTCTGAAATAAAATGATCAGAAGGAAGGTTTAAAAGAAACCAAACACAACGGAAATTACTTTGTCATACACTTCACAATTAAATTGTGGAACTCATTGCCACAGGAAACTATAGAGACAAAAGTAAAATCTTGTTCATAAACAGCCTAAACTCACTGATACAGAATATGTCATTGCATATTAATGATGGCTCAGAAATTGTCTGGAGTCCTGTTTGCCAGGAGCTGGTAGGATGTACTGGATAACTTCATACACAACCTCTTAATCCCCATCCATGTGAATCACTGATTACTTACAGTTGACAGGATTAGAGACTATATGCTTTTTGTCCAGCTCAGAAAGCTGGTTCTTACATTTTCAATAACACTATACTTTATGCAATAACCCACTTTTTCTTTTTTTTTCTTTTTTTTTTTTTTTTGGCGGGGGGGGAGCCACTATAGAAAGTGCTGTACATTTCTATCAGAACTAGGTGTGGAAAAAAAAATGGAATATACTACTTCTTAAATTGCCAGCCTAAAAGAAAATGTATTATTCTACTTGCTTTCCTAATTACTGGGATAATATCCATACCTTAATCAGCATCCCTGCTTCCCCATCTCTCTGACCTTGCCACAGACTTGATTCTTCAAAGCTGCATAGCAACATAGGGATCATCAGTCATGAACAAAAAGCGTCCTGCTTGTCAGTACAGATTCGCAGCGTGGCTTCAACCATATCAGAAACTCAGTACAGCCCCAAAATAAACATGTTATTTCATGAGTGGTAAAGTTAAAAAAGACTAGTTTATTGCATATTTGTGTCCTACATCCTACAAGTCAGGTTTTCTGCCTTTCTGCCTTTTCTGCCAGTACTTTCAGCTCCTTCCAGTAGACCTTTTTGGGTCATATATAACATGGCTTGTAGGGACTGACTAGGTGTCTTTTACCCCTCAGGATGTATGAACTTATAAATGCCTCTATCAGTGGGTCTCACCAAGTTTTTTTCTTTGGCATTCTTGTCCTTTATTTACCTAAGTAGGTTTAAGAGATATGATTAAGATCTTTAATCCTCCATCAGCTTTGAGTGAAAATGGCCAACTGCATCAAAAGCTGCAGGAGGAGAGCCAACAGATCAAGAGCTTCATTGCACAACTTTGAATATAAGACAAAAGGGTCATATAAAAAGTGTAACACGCTGCTCTTTGGCTATTTGCAGAAATTCTGAAACTTCCACCCCTGGGGATATAGTGATTAAGAGAGAATCCCAATATGTATTAAAGGAAGTGCACCCTTTTCCCTGATATCCGTCACAGACAGAAAAAACTTCCAGGATATTTTAATTTACAAGAACATATTAGGAAATACAAGGGCTTTGAAAGAAGTGCCCAAATCTGTAAACATTTTCAGTGTTTTCTGTTTCACTATGAAGAGAGCAAATAGCTTTTCCTCTACAGTACCTGATGAAACAAGAAGAGACAAACACAGCCACACGATGGAAACAAATTGCAGACCCCATCCAATTACACAGTTCAAAATCTTAAATCATATGAACTGCAAGTCAGGTATTTCAGTTCAGTTTAGGTCAGTTCAGTTTAGAACAAGAAGAAAAGAAAAAATAGAATTATTTGAAAAAACTCATTTTGTCTGAAAGCAAAACATTGCAAGCCAGCCATGAGCTGTAAGTTCAAGCACCTTTGCTAAAAGCCTCTATTCATTTGCAGTTTATTGCATAGCATGAAGCTGCCCCCTCTGGTTATATTCTTTTTTAAATGCATGGAAGAGTAAAATATAAGATTAACCGTATGCAATATATATTCATTAGGCAAATATTGAGATGCCGAATCAAATGCATTACTTTACATAAAAAATTCCTCATAAAATATGAGTGGGCATCACATTTAATACAAATCACAAACAAGTGGCAAATGATTGCCCTGCACTCAAAAATAATATAAAATAAACACCTTCATATGCAACAGTTTCACCACTTACCTCCAAAAGCTATTCATATACACAATCCATTTATAACAGTAAACTGGATCTGGGTTTTGCCATTTTACAACTATTATTCCCTCAGGAGGGAGACAATATGAAACTTTATGGCAACTTTTCCTTAATGCTGCATGTAAATTGTTAGCAGCTCACAGAAGCAGAACAAGCAGTGTTGAGTCCCATTTTCCTTCCACACTTTCTTATTATTTATTTCTTTTTATTCCTTCTCCTTTTGAGAAATGTTTTCCATTAGAATATATCCTTTCACATCAAAATATAATCATTATTCAGGGAAAAAAAAAAAAGTCTGTAGGTCAAGATTCATTACTGCCTGTTAAGAGACCAGTCATTGCTATGGAAGGGCAGAAAATCAGCTCTGTTACAGAATCAGTACAACACTGAACCAGATGAAAATAAATTATTTGAGAAACAAGGGCACAGTTTGTTGGAGCAGCACAGGGGTTTACCATAAAAGACTCTTTCTTCACACAGGTGAACGCCAGGAGAAACATGAGGACAGTCAATTCACAGAAAGATGCCCAGAGCTGGCACAGCACTGGAGAAAGGCCACCGCCCTACTGTGGAGAAGTGTAATGTCTACCCCTCTACCAGTCAGTTCCTGACTCCCACATTACATCCCTCTATACAAGAGAGCCTTGCCTCCAGGAGTAATGCATGGCACTTCATGCACAGCAAGAAGACGCAAGAAACCCCACTACCATTGTTCAGCCCTGCCCATCCTGGTTTCAGCCATGATTTTAGTTTTAAAAAACAATCTTCATTATACATTTTAATTCAATGTAGTATTCTTTTAACCTTAATAGGTATAAGATTATACATTGTACATAACTTCAAAGGCCTTCAAGAGGCTTAGATTCTTAAAAATTCACTTTTCCTGTGATCAGTCTACACTGTGTGTTTTTTTACATTAACTTATGGAGAAGACTTGAATGTAACGGCCTCAAGGATTTAGCCCTGCGTTTCTGTTACTAGAGAATTGGTCAGGGTACCTAATGGCTGGGGCTGGCAGCTTTTGCTAGAACTATAAATCCAAGCTAATATGGAGTCAGGAGAGTAATCAATGCAAACTTTCATGTGCATCCACATCAATCCAGACAGTTTCACCATTCGCAGGCACATCACAGAGCAGATTCATAGCTAACAGAGTCTCTGGAGGTTCTGTGATGATTTACACTAGCTAGCCTACAGTTTCTGAGTTTTGGACTTTTACATCCCAAATGGGCAAGAGTCTCTCAAAGGAAAAACAATAGGAAACAGAAAGTAAGATATTAGAAGGGCAGGGAAAGAAGGTGTGTTGGAGCCCTTCTGTCAGAAAAGAGATCAACACAAGCTCTCAGAGCTTCCGTGAGGATGCACAAGATGAACTACACCGAATTGTAGCTGCTGATCAAAAGGGGTTGAGCTCCAAGATTGCTATTTTGCCCTCCTTGCTGTGCTGTCTGTATTCTATTGCTCTATCAACAACCTCTTTCTCCTTCTCTCTGTGCCTTATTATCTCATCCTTCACTCCTAAATCTACAAAAACATGCAATATACTGAAATGCCATCATCTATCTTGCCCAAAGGATGAAATTCTACCATTTGAATTAAAAGAAGGAAAAATAGCACGGTTTATATCTTATCAGGCAGAATTACTACTTTAATCCATCATACTGGCTACAGTGGAAAAATTATGGCCCAGAACCCCTTGAAGACCACTTCATTAGGTTTTAATTACCTATGACACTGCTGCTGTGATAAGAGACACAGCGTATTCTTGATTTCTACATGAATCATGGTAAGTGAGCTGTTTGGCCCTGATTAACGTAGTACTATGAGACTAACTTGAGTGATATTAGGAGAGAGTATGACAGTGTCTTCCCCAACAGAAGCAGGGGACATGCTTTGTAAGTTAATATACAGTTTTGCTTCCTCCCTTTTAAAATTTTAGAATCACAGTGCTAGACAATGTATCACCTTTCATGATCTTACAACTATTTGCATTTGTATTAGTTACTTATACCTAGTTTTCAGGGGAGAAGTGGCTGCATTGCAACAAGATGCTGGAGAGTCAGCTTCAAAATTTGCATAACTGATTTGAATATTCCATAACAATATTTTTCTTCTTCTGCCTTAGGAACCAAGTACTGCACGCTAATGTGTAAAATATGACTATCACAAATGGACAGGCATGAAAAAAATACACAGAAAGAAAGGGAAAAGAAACTGTATGCCTTCTTCCAGCCAAACCAAATGGCACTATCTGCTGTTAACTTGACCTATTACACCAAGATGGTGGGAAATCTGTTGAGGAAGGCAGAAGCAGGACTAAACAAAAAAAAAGGAAATACTGCATTCCCCAGCCATATATATGAAAACAAAAACAAGCTGATGTTATTTTTTATTTCTTCCCCAGGAATAACATTTTTTGACAGTGCTGAGATTAACTGTAGCCACATGCTCAGAATGTGTGGCCAGACACTGCACTCAGAATAACACTTTATGACTTCATTCCCTGGTAGGTCTTGCTAAGCTTCTCCAAAATTTTTGATGCAGAGCATTATCACACTGCTGTGGTATTGATTGATCCACCGCAATATGGGCAGGAGGTGCTCACATAGGCTTGAAATCCCATGCTTGGGTTTGCAAATAGTTCCCCTAGGTAAGATTTATGTTAGTGAGATCGGAAGAAGTGAAGCAGAGTTCACAAGGGTTTTAGAGATGTAATTCCACCTCCTAAATAGTTTGTGTATTTTAAAACTCATGAGTAAAAAATGCACATATTATTTACATTCATTGCTCACAAAAACTGTGTTACCGGAGGGTTCTCAGTGATTATGCGAGAAGGCTAACCTTCCTACTTTTCTTAACACAGTACCACAATAGATTTTGGGATCATTTTTAATTGGTGTCTGAGAGAAAGCTGTAGTAATTCAATTTGATACTACTGGCCAACAGACAGCATGGAGCACCCTATGAGCTCAGAGGATAGCACTGTATTTGCTGAAACTACTAGCCCAGGGGAGCTGCAAAATTAGATCCAAGAAAGAGAACATAACCAAGTGAAAATTCAAATAGCAACAGAAATGTAGATTGCAGAAGACCGAGGATGATGAGGGGTCTGGAACACCTCCCGTATAAAGATAGGCTGAGAAAGCTGGGGCTGTTCAGCCTGGAGAAGAAAAGGCTGCGTGGAGACCTCATAGCAGCCTTCCAGTATCTGAACGGGGGCTATAGGGATTTTGGGGATGGACTCTTCGTTAGGGACTGTAGGGATAGGACAAGGGGTAATGAGTTAACACAGGGGAAGTTTAGATTGGATATAAGGAGGAAATTCTTTACTGTGAGGGTGGTGAGGCACTGGAATGGGTTGCCCAGGGAAGTTGTGAATGCTTCATCCCTGGCAGTGTTCAAGACCAGGTTGGACAAAACCTTCCATGATATGGTTTAGTGAGAAGTGTCCCTGCTTATGACAGGGGGTTGGAACTAGATGACCTTAAGGTCCTTTCCAACCCTAACTATTCTATGATTCTATAAGGATTCTTCTTCTACTGAAGTTGTGAAAAATGACAGCTATGACGCTAGGGCTTATACAACATCAACATTCAAAGACCCTTTGAAAGAACAATACTGCATTTTGATTAAATTGTTTAGGATACTTCAATCACTATTGGTTTTTTTTCAGATTAATTTTTTTTCAATTATTATTATTGCAAATTGATCTACACCCCCAGAGCTTGCACTGTGATAGTAGCAAGTATAAAAGCGCAAGGGTGGCTCATTACAGAACACAAGCAGGACCTAAACTATTTCCCTATATCAGTCATACATTAATTTACATTAGTTACTAATTACCAGTAGTTAAACTCCTCCGGCTCATGCAAAGAAGACATAGCAGGAAGTTCCTAAATCTCCTATATAACTTGGCATGTAAAAAGAGCTCTGCTGTAACTCGGCTCTGATCTAGAGCAGGTGGGAAGTACTTCAGTCAGCCACTTTAGCCTCAGAAAATACCAGGACATCAAATTCTGAATGTTTCTATAGATTCCAATAAAACTCCACTAGAAAAACTGTTCCAATGAACTATATTCTCCCTTATACTTTTAGAGCTGAACTTTGTTCCAAAATGGTTCCATGTCAATTTTTAATGGTGTGTACTTACATTAAACATGAATGGGATAAAAGATGCTCAAGGTAAAGAAAAATTTTATCTTTTTTTTCCAAATTTCCTGCAGATACAGACACACTCTTCCTGGACAAAAAAAAAAAAAAAAAAAAAACAACAAAAAAACACAACCCAGCCAGAAGTGCAATGAATATGGTTAGCATATCTATAAGCTGGTCTTTCTGTGTGAAGAACTGATAAAACTGTTCCTCTGGAGAAGCAGCCTATAAGAAATGTGATGCAGAACATAAGTGCAAGCTCCACAGAATAATCAATTGCATAAAAGCTTGGAAGCAGGTGGTTATGCAGCTATTCTACAAAAAGGATTTGGAGTTTCTAGGGGATCACAGAGTAAACAGAAGTAAATGTCAAACCTTGTAAAAATGAGGAAAAAATAAAACAACAAAACAAAAAAAAAAAATAACTCTTGAAATGCAGACAGAACTCCTTTGCAACTCAGAGCTGACTAAAGTGCTACGCTTTTCTTTGAGCATCACAGTTCAAGGACTGCATGGATCAGAGAGAGCAGAGAAAAACAAGAGCTCTAGAAAACCTAACCTGTAAGAAAGACTTGAAGCATGGGGTCAGTTCAGTCTGGAAAGAGGAGGCTGAGAAAAAAATAATATCAACAGCATAAAGGAGATATAAAAAACAGACAAAAATTAACTGTTGTTCATGCCTGCTAAAGGTAAGAGAAGAAAGAGCCTTAAGCTGCACAAATGGATGCTTAAACACTAGTAATAACTCTTCCAGTGTACAGATATTTAAGAGCTGGAACAGACAGCAGGGAGGAGTGTAGGCTGTTGTCATTATGGGTTTCTAAGAACGTGGCATCTAAACTTCATCCTGCACCAGAAGGGGGAAAAAAAGTATTCCTGGTATCACCTTTAATAAGCATGTACCTATTTTGTCTAGCAGATAGCCATCATCCTTCAGATTCAAAGCAACAAGGCAAAACACCCTAGCTTTATTCTGTCAGATAAAGGCTTCTGGCCTATTTCTAAAGGCTGGTCTGAAACTGTTAATTAAACTATACATGTGAAATGCTTCAAGATGCTCTAAAACATGAAAATGGGTTTGGAGCAAGGAGGAAAGAAGCTAGGACAAAGACAAATGCAAGTGAGAACAGAAGTAAAGAGTAGATGAAGTTCTGCTCTTTTGAGTCATGCTGGAAATCCAGGGTAGTTTTCCTCGGGTTCACATAGGCGCAATTAGCAGCAAAAAATCATCTCTTTTGTTAAACAAACTAGTTAAGGGTGCCATTTGCAACGTTAGCATCTAGCTACTCTTGCCTTATCCAAATCTTCACAGGACAAGGGAAATAGCCTGCATATGAGGTGTGTCAGTGTCACATCTCTGTCTCTGGTGAATGCCACAGTCTTTCAGCTACATAATCAGATTGCTGATCTTAGTGGCAAGAATGTTGCTGGGTAGGGCGCAGAACTGGAAACAAGATGGCTTTTTTTAACAAGAAGTTCAAGACGAATCCAAACTGGATTAGGACTTTCTAAATGCACATTGCTCCCAGGCCAATTGAAGAAGAGTAGGTCCTCCAAGAAACTGGGGGTTTGTGAGGAGGCAGCTTTCTCAGTCTGCTATTCATGTGCTTCAGAGTTTTTCAGGACAGGTAACTTGTGCATTCTTATTTCTCCTTTTGTAAGTTTCTCATTACATTCTTCATGCTGGCATTGCTACCAACTCAACCCATTTTCCATTCACTTGTACAGTATCATCCAGACCTATTTCCACTTGATGCCTCCCTGTTCCACCTCCCAGGCCCTGCTCCCACATGGGCTTGTTTTCCTTAAAGTTCTCTTTCCCTCTTAATTCCTGTGCACAGACTGTTGGCTTCCGTGACTAATTACCGAAGAGGAATCTAAGGCCCATAACCCAAAAATCATCCAGTCTTGAACCTCTGCAGAGTGCTGGCGTATTGTAGATAGCACTCGGAACCCACCTTGAGTACCACCAGCTGACAGCAGCAGGTTTGTAACTTATGGGCCACTTCAGGTTTCTCTTCACATGAGGCTCTATTGGGATTACTTTCTTGCAGCCTGAGGTTGCTCCTTGCACACTTGATGCAGGGATACCCATCAGCCAGCTACCAGCATGCCCAGCACACTCACAGCAAAATGTCACAATCGCATTGGGTTTCATGTCACATTCCTCTTTGTCATTCACTCTGTCACTAACGAGCTGCACAGACAATGTACCTGCTTTTAGTGAAATGAAGAATATGGAGCTATTATTTTACAATATAAGAACACACCTGCACCCGTTATTACAGCGTTCATGCAATCGGTTAGGAAGAAATCAGGAGCAGGCTGTAAAATACATGCCATTATAAGCATTCCCCGTATATTCTGCAGACTAGCAATCATACCTGAATAGGAAATATTTCTGTGCCTGAGAAAGCAGTCATACAGGAATCCACTTGGCATTGTATACTTCCCACTGTCCTCATGATGCACTCCTGCCTCTTTGCTAAATACTAATGAAAGGAAATTTAGGTGTCAGCCAAGGATAGCTGTCTATTGCACGTATTTCCCACAGCCTCCCCTTATAGTCAGTAAGTGCAAAATTCACTTTACCTCACTCCAGCCTGGACGATCAAGGGAATTTAGAGGTTGGATACGGTTAGAGATTACAACACATGCAGGTGTGCAATCATATATGTGTGTCTACTTTAATGTTCAAATATACTGCTTGTACTGAGAAGGGTCCAACATGATATTGCAGGAGTTGAGCAAACTTTCCTTTTCGTTGTTCCTTCTGCAGTCAGGTGACACCCAAGGACGCAAAAAAGAATGGGAAATCTGAAATACAGAAATTAAATGGAAATTACAACATTAAATTTGTTCACGTTACTAAATTCAATACCATAACAATGTATGCCCAAAGTGACAAAAAACATACTATTATTCTTCTATAGCGGCACTTCCTAACTTTTTGAGATATTGATTTTGCAATTTGAACAGCTTTAAATGTGTATGCGTACAGTTAGAGAGTGACTTCTGCATTTTTTTATAAAAAGAAAAAAATTGACTACATCCAGTTATTTATTAGTCTTTTAAAATGTCTGGGTACAAATTTTATAATTGTATGCAGTTTAAAGTATTTTGGTTTAGCATTTAGCAACAGTTCTACATCTCTGGGTCAGTATATTTTCTCCTCACAGCTTTTTCTAAGCCAAGACACAATCTCTTCCTATGTTCCCACAGATAAGACCAACACAAGTGTTGAACCCTGCTTTGAACATAAGAAAGGAAGCTACTACTGGAATATGCTCTCTGAGAATACTGCAACTTGTGTTCCTCATCTTTTTTTGCTCTCAAAGGACCCCAGGTCTGTTGTTCTTGAGGTCACATGAATAATCCTTTTGGGGATGGTCTTTACAGGACTTCAAAGATGCAGGGTGTGTGTCTGCCCATAGGGGTCGAGATGATCTGAAGGAAATGTGGGAAGGAGAAATCTGTTTTTGCAGATGGCTATTTTAGTGTCCAAAAGGTTTCGCCTAGTTTGCTATTGTTCTTTCTTTCCTTAATTTGGCTGAATTTTTAAGTATCTGGTAGGGTGTCTAGATCCAGGAAAAGGTGTTCTGTTAATGTGCATGTAGAAATTGGGAATGAATTAATAAAATGCCACCTCAAACTAAAAGGGGCTGACATCTTATTGCTTAAATATAAGCGTTTACTGCAGGTGCAAGTTTTCCTATTTTACACAAAAAGAAACTTAGAATTAAAAAAAAAAGAAAAAGAGGAAAAAGAAAAAATCTTCATGTTTACTCCTTTTGGCTAGGGTTACAAGAAGCAATCACTTCATCCCTGAGGGATGCCACTTCTGCAGCACATTGCAAAAACAAAATCCCACCCACACATAAGAAAACAGAACACGGTGTTAGTTAGCATAATTAGACTTCCACTTCAGTATTTCCACTCTTGGCATTCATCCTTTGCAAGTTTTGCCACATTATTAGAGACATTAGTGGTTGCTAATACACATGGATGCAATTAAGAGAAAGTAAAGAAAGGATTCACAAACAAGCAGAAGAGCTCTGTATTTGAAGAGGGTATAAAAACTGAATCTCTTATTCATTTTTCTATTTAAGCTGTGAAAGGAGGATATAGACTGATCAGTATGAAGGGCCTTGCAGCAAAGCTTGTAGTATAGATAGGAGAGTAGATTAAAGGGAAATTTACACTTTGTGCTGTTTCTTTTTTTTATAGCATTTGTGACTGCTCTTCAAAGTGAGAAATGTTTTCACTTGGATCTGTATAACAATGTTGTTGACACAGAGGGCATAATTCTACACACCACTAAAGTAATCAAAAACCACTGTTAGAAATAAGTCAGTGCAGATTTTTTCTTTTTTTTTTATCTCAGCCCCAGAGACCTTGTAGATTTTCAGCCAAAATTCTAATAAAATAATTTGATTTCCTGATAACCTACCTTTAATCTAAAAACAACGTCTAAGTTCCCTTTTTTGGAGAATTTCTATTTGCGTATATTTCCGGCAGAACATTGTAAGAGCCTCACTGGGAATTACCACTTAATGAATAAATGCCAAAGCTGAACTGAGAGTTTACTTCCGAAGCTCTCTCTTCAGGCTTTCCAGGGATATTGACATGATTCTGATTTTAGTTGGGGCTCCAGAGGAAACTCTGAATAGAATTAATTTAAGACAAGAAATTCTGCCTTGTGTGCTACCCAGGGGCCTCAGGTTTTTATTGAGGTCACTAGGCAGTCATGAATACATACTGAATATGAACAGTTGTCCAAATGGCTCTGTGAAAAAGAATAGCTGCTATATTGGCACTTAACTCTGTGTTTTCCCTGCTGAAGATGACGAGTTTCCCATTTTTCAGTAGGAACCTGCATAGAAAGATGTTTGGAGGACAGCAGAAAAGGATATAAGCCTGAATTCTCCTTTGCTTGTGATTGCAAACAGTTCAAGCGCATCTTCCCTGAATACAGCTGAATATAGAACGAGTTCACATAGCACTCAAACACATGAAGTAGGCTGACTCATAGAGAGATTCAGCGCATGTCAGTTCAGACAGTAAGGTAGGAGCATGGGATGAGCAGTCCAGCTATAGATGTCAATAACTCCACTGCTGAGGGTTTTCTCTCCTTCTTTAAGAACAGTGGGTGCTCAGGAAGACGAATTGGTCCTTCCAGAAGCAGTAAATACCCCTTTTTCCAATTCAGTTTTTAAAATAAAGTGCTGACAGAAATTCAAAACTGCTTGAGGGGACCCTTCATAGACACCTTTTTTGGGCATGTAAAATTTGCATATCTGGTTATATGCCCTTAAAAAGCGAATGAATAAGCTAGTAGTGAAATCTAGACATTGCCTACTAATTTTGGAGCTGATAGGGGCACTTAATACTAACCTTATGAGCAATCACATTGAATTCAAAATGTATTAGCCCAGTAAGAGTCTGTCTTCTCATAATCATACTGAAATGTTGTTCTCTATCACAGTTTGAGCAATTGCTGTGAGCTGGTGGATAATTGTAGGCAATTTCAACAGTACAGGCAAACTGACTCATCTCTTGCAAGCAAACATCAGGAGGGAATAGCAAGAAACATTTACTTACCAAGTAAATGTTGATCCTTGAAAATGCTCAGATCCAAGCACCAACGGCTTTCATGAAAACAAAAGCTTGATTTTAAACGTAGTTGTATTGACAAGGAGGTCTTTGGTGGCTACACCAAGGCACCTTATGTCCCTGCCCTAGATTTTGAGATATTCAACAGCAGTGATCCAATAAGATCTGAGTAAGTGTTTTAACCCCATCAGAAGTAAGGGAACATTTGGGATCTGGACCTTTTCTCTGCAGGGCTGCCTGAGAAAAACCTTCTGGGGCACCAGGACTAACAACTTGATAAGGAGTTAAATACCACATTATTTTGCTTTATTATCAACAGGAAGCTAAGAGATTTGTAGCATGGCATGGTTTGCTTCCATAGCAGTTAGGAATAACCATGAATAAATCATGGAGGTGCTTAGGTGTGTCCATATATTTGAATTAGAACATGTTTCCTAAGCTAATTAAAAAATATTCATCCAAATTATTTAGACTGGCACATATTCCATATTGGTCATGTCAGCATTAGACATATTTTCCCCCTGAACCTGTCGACAGACTAGTTTGCAGGCATATGTATTACCTGCCTAGCAGCCCCTGAATGAAAAAGGGGTAATTCTCTAGAAATGTTTTATCTATGGGTTTGCGTGCCTCTCCATATTAGATCTTCACCCTCAGTTCATAATACCTAATTACCCTGCTAGCCTGTGCTCAGTTATTTAAAGCCTAGCCCTTACTTATTGTATTTTACAGTTTAACATTAATAAATCAGAGGTTAAGTGGCTCAATATTACAAAAGGAGTCACTAGCTCAGTAAAAAAGGAGTCAGGATTATGTTGAGCTCCTTAATATTAGTAATCAGGATTTAAAAAGAGAACAGAGAGCAACAAATGCTAGCCACAGCAGGGTACAAAAGGGAAAGTTACTAGTCACAGAGAAGAGTGTCTCCTACCTGAACTGCAGACAGCTCTGAGCAGGTCCTACAATCTGTTGAATGCTTTTCCCCTGGAGCTTGATAAAAATCAACAGAAACTTCAAGACTTCAGTGGCTCAGATCAGGACAATGTTTTATACAATTAAACCTGAATAATCTTAACTCTAAAATAGATATGATATCATTAGATAACTTATTATTAGATAAATTGTGGCCTAAGTGGGGAACCAATGTGCATAGGGCAGGATGACTTTATTTTATTAGACTAGCTGATATAGTCAGAAAACCATAAAAGCTTTTGATCATCTGTTACATGCCTATGGGGTAAATGGGATGCTTGTCATGGTATGAGAGGGGAAGATAAGCTAGACAACGAGCAGCTTTGATCTTCCAGATAATATTACAGTAAAATCCCAGTCCTACTAGCCCTGAAGTGTTCAGAGCTCTTTGTTTTCTTCTTTCTTTCCTTCCTTCTTTCCTTTTATTTTTTTTTTTTGGTTTGGTTTTATTTGGGAGGGGCATGTGGGTTTGTTGGTTGGTTGGTTTTGTCTCTGAGGTTCAGATGTACAGTCAGGTTACTGAGGAATGGCTTCCATGGGCTAGCTGAGCCTTGATAACTTCCACAGCAAATACAGTGTAACACAAGTTATTTTCACCTCAGTAGATGAAACTTAAGCCACATTATCTCACACTTACCAGGACTTAGAGTTCTCCAAATACAGTTATTTCTGCTATTCTATTCTTGTCTTTTCAGATACACAGAGTAACATTTTATGCCTCCTGTTATGAACTTAAGCTTAGACCGTCTTCCAACAGCCTTTTCCCTGGTTTTTAGGACGGCATTTTGACAGTTTGAATGAATTTTACACAAGAAATCACTATCACTTTCTACAGTAACTGTAAACTGTATCACCCTTCTCCCAACATAAGTCACCAAAGCAATTTCCCACTCTTACACAAATACAGGTTTTACTATTCTTGAAACAGCAGTACTACTAAAAACTGGGCTGCATTACAAGAATAATGTGAAGTGAGGTGATTCTCCCACTCTGCTCTCATGGGACAACCCCCTACCCCCTGCCCATTGCATCGCATTCAGCTCTGGGACCCCAACATAAGAAGGATATGGAACTGTTGGAGTGAGTTCAGATGAGACCATGAAGATGATCAAAGCGCTGGAGCACCTCTGCTTTGGAGACAGGCTGAAAGAGTTGGATTTGTTCAGTCTGGAGATGAGAAAGCTCTAGGGAGACCTTAGAGCAGCTTCCAGTGCCTAAAGGGGGCCTATAAGAAAG